TCAAGACAATAGAATTGTGTTACATTCCTCCTCACAACAAATCATTCTCATCAAGACTATAGAATTGTGATACATTCCTCCTCACGACAAATCATCCTCATCAAGACAATAGAATTGTGTTACACTCCTCACAACAAATCATCCTCATCAAGACAATAAAATTGTGTTACATTCCTCCTCACAACAAATCATCCTCATCAAGACAATAGAATTGTGATACATTCCTCCTCACAACAAATCATCCTCATCAAGACAATAGAATTGTGTTACACTCCTCACAACAAATCATCCTCATCAAGACAATAGAATTGTGTTACATTCCTCCTCACAACAAATCATCCTCATCAAGACAATAGAATTGTGTTCATTCCTGTTGCAAGATTTTAATATATAGTTTTAATTTGTTATTTTTTGTCTTAGATTCAAACATAGTTCATCGATTTGAAAAGAAAACTATTTGCATGTAAGTGCATGTTTTTGTAAACAGACTATGTAGAATATTTCAAGCTTGAAAAACTTATGAAGAGGTATTTTATAGTTTCTCTGTGTTTGGGTGTGATGTTAAAAACAAGGATGAGATCTTAAATTTGTCTATAAAAACAGGAAATGATCTTAAAACAGCAGACACCAAAATATTTTGCAGACAGTATAAATTACTTGTGTTGACAGTTTTGTGGAGCTAGCAAGCCTTTGCCATCAGGGCTTCAGCTTGCTCATCTTAATGACATTGTAGATCATATTTATATATATATTTGATGCAAATAATTGACAGAGACATTTTGATTTCAGTTTAAAATTAATGGAAAAGATAATTTATTTACCTTCTAACATAACTTGTAATCAAACTGAAATTAATTACAAGTGGATCCCGGCCCTCGTAGTAGTGATAACGACACAAAGAGAGGTTACTGCAATTGCATATTCCTTAAAATTTAGCTGACAGTGAAATGACCTTGGTTTGTGGTGATGAGATGTTAAGACACTAGACACACCCTTGTTTTATGGAGTTCATGTTTAAGTGTTTGTGTTCAAGTTAATATGGTATAGGTTTGTCATATGTAAATCACTTTTATTTCCTGAGAAATACATTTTCGTGTAAATTCGCGTGGAAAGTCGCTCACAAATTCATTTTTTTAAATGCATATTGTCAACCATATTTCGTATTTATTAGCTCATGATTGCTCATGTGAGCTATTGCCAATCCGTGTTCATCAGTCGTCGTCCCTCGTGCGTAAACAATTGAACATTTTAAACTTCTTCAAAACTGCTCAAACCACAGAACGAAAGTTTTGTGCCAATCAAAAAATCTAAGATGGCCGCTCTGACCTCTGATTTGCTGAAACATCTTCAATTTTTTCTCAAGAATGGCATCACTAATTGACTTCTGACTTGGTACAATTGATCCTTAGAAGGTTCTGGACAAGTGTTAAGTTTCTTTCTGATGTGAAAATCCAAGATTGCCACCTCGATCTCTGATTAGCTGTGACATTTTCGACTTCTTCTCAAAAATGGCTTCATCGATTGACTTCCAACTTGATACAATATATCCTTATGAGGTCCGAACAAGTATTGTTAAGTTGCTTACTGATCTGAAATCCAAAATTGCCACCCTGATCCCTGATTGGCTGAGGCTTTTTCGACTTCTTCTCAAAACGTCTCAAGCGATTGACTCCTAACTTGGTACAATTGTTCCATTTGTGATCCAGTACAAGTGTTCTTACTTTTGTTGCCGATCCAAAAATTCAAGATAGATGACCTAGCCTCAGGTTGCCTGAGACATTTTCGACTTCTTCCCTCAAGAATGACTGCACCGAATGACCCATTCTAGATTTGATAATTACAAACCTAGTGCGTTTTACTCAATGGAGTGCCATTTGATTGGCCGAGACATTATTGATTTATTTGAACTTATGTGAGCGTTAAGGCCATTTAGGCCTCTTGTATTTTATAATCTGTTCCATTATAAAAAAAATCCTTGAGAATTAGAAGTTTGAAGCGTCATTGCGAAAACAAGTATTGTGTACTATGTAAGTACTTATGAGGGTAAGTTATGTGTTATAATACTCTACTTATGAGGGTAATTAAGTTATGTGTTATAATACTCTACTTATGAGGGTACGTTATGTGTTATAGTACTCTACTTATGAGGGTAAGTTATGTGTTATAATAATCTACTTATGAGGGTAATTAAGTTATGTGTTATAATACTCTATTTATAAGTGAAGTTATGTGTTATAATACTCTACTTATGAGGGTAAGTTATGTATTATATTACTCTACTTATGAGGGTACGTTATGTGTTATAGTACTCTACTTATGAGGGTAAGTTATGTGTTATAATAATCTACTTATGAGGGTAATTAAGTTATGTGTTATAATACTCTATTTATGAGTGAAGTTATGTGTTATAATACTCTACTTATGAGGGTAAGTTATGTATTATATTACTCTACTTATGAGGGTAATTAAGTTATGTGTTATAATACTCTACTTATGAGGGTAAGTTATGTGTTATAATACTCTACTTATCAGGGTAATTAAGTTATCTGTTATAATACTCTACTTATGAGGATAAGTGACGGATAGGGCATAAAAGTATTATACTATGCAAGTATGTGAAATGGTATATACCACTGATGAAAATAGAATTAGTGCTTTTATACTTATCAAAATTTGTTATGCATATTGTTTGTCGTAGAATTTATTCAATATTTTATGTTGAGTATTTGCGCCAATTATTGAAATACATTAGAGAATATATGATACAATCCTTTTCGTTTCTATTCAAAACAAGGCAAAATATGGCATGGAACTGGAACTTCTCTGTGTTGATAAGGTAAGTTTGATTATTGAATGGATAGATAAACGATGAATGAACAAACAAAAATTGATGTACTCCTTTCTATACCAAGATTACAACTTTTGTGATAAGTGCATATTAAGTGGTTCAGTTTAGCTTTCAAAACAAACGGTTTTATCTTTTCATTTGAAAAGTTGTACTGTTAATTTTACTTTCAAACCCTGATTATCGGTTGTAGTGGAATGGTTGTTATCAGAGCCTCGATTTGATGATCTGTGTAGTTACAACGAACAAGTGACCATGACTGACTGTCATCGTAAGCAAAATAAGCTATGGGGGACATCCATGTTAACGGCTGAATTGGTCTTCTGTTTATTGTTCCTTCTGTTTATTGTTCCTTCGACATACACAAACTTTAACTTACTGTTCGTATAAGTATAAATGCAGATATAATTTTCCTAGAGAGAGGAATACTTGTGTTGTGTTTCTGCTCTATCAATGTATCGTCTGCTCTGTTTCATTCCACAGTATGAAGAGTTGTACAAAATTATCCGCGGGAAAAGGAAGGGATTGAAGGACTTTGCAGAGTGCATCAAATATTTCCCGTTCCCAGTTTCAACTTTTCCAAAAATAGTAAGTCTGTTCTGCAAGTTACTGCTAAGCATAACTTTTACCTGGTAATAAGGGTGAATAAAGTCTAACAATATGTTGATATGATTCCATCTACATAGTACTATAGTTTCAAGACCCGCGATACTAGATATTCAACCAGTTACAAAGCACAGTTTTGCATAACATAAGAATTTGGTGATTTCAACTTTAGGAAACGTTACAGCAGAAAACAAACCTAGACCAGATATTATTAATATAATAATCGTATAGGGATATCTTGATCTTGAATTTGAAACAAACTGCATTATTTGACACTTTAATTCTTGTGTCAGTAAGATAAACATGTTCTATAAACGCCATTTGTTTGGTATTCTATGGAAGAAAATTACGGTATAAGGCTAACGATTCCTACTTACAGCTTGGTCCACTTATGCCTGGATTCAGGGATCTTATTTTCCTGGCCATTGACTTTGGCAAAGAGGATATCTGCCTCCGACTGGCAGATATTGGCGCTGATCTGTTCAGGAAAGAAAAGGTAAATTTGTTACATATAAAATGTCTCAATGATATTTACTAAATATTTATAACGAAAATAGACGGTAGGTTGTCAGATATCAAATTTCTAAATGATATCTAGTCAAGATTAAAAACGAAAGTAGACGGTAGGTTGTCAGATATCAAAATTCTAAATGATATCTAGCAAAGATTAAAAACGAAGTAGACGGTAGGTTGTTAGATATCAAAATTCTAAATGATATCTAGTAAAGATTAATAACGAAAGTAGACGGTAGGTTGCAGGAGTAAGTATTGTTAGAGATAGAGCGAGCATGAGCAAAAGTGGAACAAGTGAGTATCATGATACAAAATCATTCACACAAATGATCATTAATGATAAAGTTTTATGTAGACTAATAACTACTTTCAGTATACGGTTCTGCTTATTGAGATCCATAAATTAAATGAGAGGAATATGTTAGAAATACAACCAGTTGTTCATCTGTGGTGTGTTGAGTTGTCTTTCTTTTTATGTTCCTTTTCACTGACTTCAGAACAAAGTATTCCTAGTGAAGTAGAGTAGACATTGCTATCGGTATAAACTCTATCTCGTTGTGTTGATATATGATAATGAGATTTGAATGATTTGTAGTTAGTTGTGTTACTAACCTAACAGTAGCGTACAATGTTTGGTCTTAGAACAACCAACGCGAAGTCGCTTATTTTTTTTATATTGGACTGGTTTGTAATACAATTCTACAGACATTATAGTCATAATTCTCATGCAACTTTTTATCACCTGTAACACAACTGATCGATCTCTGTGTCATTCACATACAACAGAGTGTAAACGATACCCCAGGATGAAGATGTCCGGTGGACACTTTCCGAGATGTTGTATTATAGATGTTGTTTTATAAATGTTGTATTATATGTGTTGTATTATATATGTTGTATTATAGGTGTTGTATTATAGATGTTGTATTATAGGTGTTGTATGATAGGTGTTGTATTATAGATGTTGTATTATAGGTGTTGTATGATAGGTGTTGTATTATAGGTGTTGTATTATCAGTGTTAATTATATGTGTTGTATTATAGGTGTTGTATTATAGGTGTTGTATGATAGGTGTTGTATCATAGGTGTTGTATTATCAGTGTTTATTATATGTGTTGTATTATAGGTGTTGAATTATAGGTGTTGTATTATAGATGTTGTATTATAGATGTTGTATAATAGATGTTGTATTATAGGTGTTGTATTATAGGTGTTGTATAATAGATGTTGTATTATAGATGTTGTATTATAGGTGTTGTATGATAGGTGTTGTATAATAGATGTTGTATTATAGATGTTGTATTATAGGTGTTGTATGATAGGTGTTGTATAATAGATGTTGTATTATAGGTGTTGTATTATAGATGTTGTATTATAGAGAAAAAAAGAAAAAAATAAACGACGTCACGTTTGTCTTGGAACATCCAGTGTAATTTGATGATAATTTCCTATAAGTTTCTGATTAACCTTTTATTATATAAAACGTTATTTTGACTGTTTAGTATACCATTAAGAACGCCGCCGGAGAGGAAGAGCCCGTGTATATGACGGCAGTTGAGAGATCTTGGGATCAGTACATGACTGACGTTGCCGCCTTATTGTCACGGAAACAAGAACACCGACGTCACCAGAGGAAGTCCCTTCTGCCCAAACGTATTCACAGCCGTTTTCAGGAAGCAATAGCCCTAAAACCAGTGTTATTCAGATCACTATTCCTAGTTCAACCCGAATCATCCAGATCATAAACGAGTAACGGAAGAAGCCTTGGTATTGATGACATTTTTCTCTTGTAACAGGGAATTGTTCTTACCTACAATGATAGTATACACTTCTGATTTTATCCGTTAGTCTCCATGCTATACAATGCTGTATCATGGATCAATTCCTTGTTCTATCAACACTTTTGGGTTATATAAGAAGAAATAGAATATAATAGAAACACAAGATGCATATTTTCATAAAGATGTACAGCATAGGGTAATAATCACAGCACATTCCTCTTTAATGTCGTTCAAATTAACCTTCAATAAGACGAAATTAAAATCTAGAATTTTTTGTAGTCTCATCTTTTCCTTTTCAAGCGACGACTTCAAAATCTGTTCAAGGACTAATTTGTTTTCAAACTGTTATAATGGTGTAGTTGAAGATACATTTTTGAGAAAATTAAAAAAATAAATCAAAAGATTGCCAGTAATACGGTTAGCTGAGTGTAAAATCTGATCCTGTTTTTCTCTGTATGTATTTGATGGCTCGATATTTTATGTAACCATTAATTATCCATTATATATTCAACATGTACATTGACTATTAACAAACTTTTAAATCACTCTTTTCCAAGCTCTCGGGCTTATAGCCCTTCGTCAGGGATTAAATGTCACCGGACCTCTATGTCACCTTGAGTTTGTCAACACGGATGTGACATAGAGGTCCTGTGACATTTAATCCCTGACGTAGGGCTAAGCCCGAAAGCTTGGAAAATAGTGACTTAAAGTTTGTTAATATATTGTAGCGTCCCCTATAGGAACATATGTTTATAGACAGTTAGCGTACATTGACAAGATAGTAAGGCCCAGAACTAAACGCAGTTGTTAAACCTCCTGTGATATGTTCTTTTACATTTGGTAGAATGCATTATACGTTTTGCGGGATATTTTCATTTACATTCAATTAAATACATTATCAATATATTAAAGTAATATGTTGATTTACACTTGGTAAACTGTATTAATGAACTCGTCAACATTACTGTGTAGTAGTATTCGTGTATTGGTGACATGTAATGACGTGCGCATTTATATTGTTATATTGTTAATCTGTCAACCTTTAAAACAAGAACCTGGTTATGCGATATAGTTTGGTCATGTGATATAGTTTGGTAATGTGATATAGTTTGGTCATGTGATATTGTTTGGTAACGTGATGCAGTATAGTTTGGTAACGTGATATAGTTTGGTCATGTGATATAGTTTGGTCATGTGATGTAATTTGGTAACGTGATATAGTTTGGTAACGTGATATAGTTTGTTTATGTGATATAGTTTGGTCATGTGATATAGTTTGGTCATGTGATATAGTTTGGTTATGTGATATAGTTTGGTAACGTGATATAGTTTGGTCATGTGATATAGTTTGGTCATGTGATATAGTTTGGTAACGTGATATAGTTTGGTAACGTGATATAGTTTGTTTATGTGATATAGTTTGGTCATGTGATATAGTTTGGTAACGTGATGTAGTTTGGTCATGTGATATAGTTTGGTAACGTGATATAGTTATGTGATATAGTTTGGTCATGTGATATAGTTTGATATGTAATACATATATATGGTAAAAGTTGACATAGGTCAAGTTGGAGACATTTAATTCCATTGGTTACTTATTAACAAGATTGTTTTACATTGTATCTTCAAGTTTTTGACAAGATTAAGGAATGTTTCTATTACGGAAATACGTGAATGTGTTTAACCTTTACATAAGGAACAAATCTGTCATTGTTGTTGTTATTTTTGTGAGCGAATTTAAATCCTTACGGATGTATCAGTTCCAGCACTTTCTCGAAACATTTCTTATTTTCACAGTTAACTTATCTAAGTCCCTTCTCAAGTGACAGCAAACTCATCACGAACAAAACTAAAAACTCCAGATTGTTATATACGTAATTGTGACATATTTAACAGAGAATATAGATGCTTTTAAATCTATTGGTCTAAATTCTATTATCGTTTATCTATATTATGTGATGAAACATTTTACATTGCTACGGAGAAATTACAGAAAATTTTAATTTAATAGCTTTAAACGTTCATTAACGGTGACATCTTTAACTCAAAATTAGATATACTATTACTATTGGCTAAAAAACATATGAATTTGGTGTATATATTTAAGAACGCCTTTATTTTGAATTACTGTAATATAGAGAAAAGGGTCTGCACAATATTTTCTTTTGTATATTGAATATTTTGTGTTTGTGACATGGTGATATGTATTGCTAGCTTTGGTGCGTGTTACATAGTGCTATACTGATCGGCGTTTTGGTTATGGTAAAATGAACATTACTAAAAACAATAAAGTATTAGCATCATTTTGATTTGTTATATTTTTACTGTGATTGGGATTTTGTTAAAGCCGGTTCGTTCCAGTTTAATCTTAATATCATTCTTTGGTAAAAAAAAAGCTTTGTGGTTTCGGATTTTCACAGTTTATATATATAAATATATATAATTATCCTGATCTTGGCTATTCTTGCTTAGTCTAAAAAAATATTGATTGTCATGTTTCACATGCAAATGTCATAATTGTGTAAAATGCATATGACACTCCTTGGAACCCCATCCACATTACCTATTTTCAGATATACTATTACTGTTGGCTAAAAAACATATGAATTTGGTGTATATATTTAAGAACGCCTTTATTTTGAATTACTGGTAATATAGAGAAAAGGGTCTGCGCAATATTTTCTTTTGTATATTGAATATTTTGTGTTTGTGACAGCCCAATAGTACCTCGGGACGAATGTAGGATAGGGAAATAGTACCTCGGGACGAATGAATGATAGGGAAATAGTACCTCGGGACGAGTGTAGGATAGGGAAATAGTACCTCAGGACGAGTGTAGGATAGGGAAATAGTACCTCGTGACGAATGAATGATAGGGAAATAGTACCTCGGGACGAGTGTAGGATAGGGAAATAGTATCGCGGGACGAGTGTAGGATAGGGAAATAGTACCTCGTGACGAGTGTAGGATAGGGAAATAGAACATCGGGACGAGTGTAGGATAGGGAAATAGTACCTCGGAACGAGTGTAGGATAGGGAAATAGAACATCGGGACGAGTGTAGGATAGGGAAATAGAACATCGGGAAGAGCGTAGGATAGGGAAATAGAACATCGGGACGAGTGTAAGATAGGGAAATAGAACATCGGGACGAATGCCCAAATTGCACCTTTTCAGGGGAAAATTAGAACAATGTATCAAAGTAACTATCCCAAGTAAACTTATATAGCCTCAACGAAAATTAGAACAATGTAACGAAGTAACTATCCCAAGTAAACTTATATAGCCTCAACGAAAACCAGTTGACGTAAACATAAAACTCTCTTGATAAAAAGCACTGAAAACTTATATAAAAGGAGTAAACTATGAAGAAGATATATAAAAACGGGGAATCAAGGGATACACAAAGGATACACAAGGAATAGTGTAGAGTACGGAACCAAGTACGGTCTCTGACCAGGAAAGCAGTTACATTGTACGAGATGCAAATAGCGCAACAAGTCAAAGAAAATCTGGCGTTATGCAAAGTCTAAAACCCACTCAAAGGCAAATATGTCTAATCTTTATACCGGCCCAAACAAGAATGACGTAACTGGATCTGATTTAGAAAAAGCGAATGTACTTTCCAGAAAATAACAGCTATATTTAAAAAAGGAGACCGGAAAGAGGTTTCAAACCGTAGGCAAGCCTGTTTAACCAGCGTTGTGTGTAAGGTAATATAAACAATAATTAGGGAAGAAATTATGATACATATGCAAAAACACAAACTTTTCAGTAAAGCACAGTATGGCTTCATTGAAGGCAGATCTAAGGTGTTACAACTTCTAAAAGTTATTGATGAGTGAACAGAAATTTTGGAAAGAGGAGGATGTATCGATGTCATTTATTGTGATATTATGAAAGCATTTTGATAAAGTTTCTTATTGAACACCTTATCCATAAACTAGCAAAATACGGAATATCGGGGAGATTCTGCTCTTGAAAAGCAGATTTGTTTACTTGAAAGAAAACAAACGGTCGTCGTGAATGGAGAAAAGTCGGAATGGAACCATGTAATAAGTGGCATACCACAATGGATCGGGTTAAGGACCACCTATATTTGTAATTTATATAAATAACATGCCTTGTGTAACAAGTCCCAGAACGAATACATTCCTTTTCGCGGATGATACGAAAGCATTCATGGCAATCAATGATGAACAAAATTGTACGATTTTACAACAGGGTCTATTTTCTCTCCATTATTTTTAGTGGTCAGAGGTCTGGCCACTTCGTTTCCATCCGGACAAACGCAAAGTGATGCGCGTGGGACACTCCCATGTTAATAACATGAAGTACACACTTAAGGAAAATGCAGAATCGTTGGAACGTGTGAAGTTCGAAAAAGATATCGGTGTTATTTTAGACAATACATTTTCATTTGATAAACATATATCTGAAAAAGTAAATAAAGCTAATTCCATTATGGGAGTGCTACGAAGAACAATGGAATATATGAACTTGGTGAGTTTGAGGTTGCTACACACATCCTTAGTTAGACCACACTTTGAATAAACGAATCAGGTTTGGTGTCCTCATCTCGAAAAACATATAGGAACAATAGAAATGTTCAACGTCGAGCAACAAAGCAGGTACCTGGCCTAAAAGACTTATCCTATAGGAGCGATTAGAAAAACTAAAACTACCAACATATAGAAGATCACGTGACGACATGATAGAGGTTTACAAAATAGTGTCCGTGAAATATGACTGAAGTGTCCGACATATTTAACATAAGGGAAAGTTCATCTACACGTGGACACAACTTTAAATTTTTCAAAAATGTTCGTTTACACAGAGAACAATCTTCTGTCAAATCTAGTGAATTCACGTACAGTTTAACAATATAAATTAGATGAAGATTGGCAAAACCAAGTGCAGGAATAAAGTTGTAGAAGAAGGTTCGAAATCTAAACGTTGCAACTTTTGAAACATATTTTTATTCAATTGCTTTTTATTTCAGAACTGACTGTCAAAGGATTGTAAAATCCTTGTTTTTGTCAGAATAAATCTAGGTATTTATGTATCTTTATGTAGAGTATACACAACGCCAAATAAATACTGTACATGTTCCTTTATCATGTAATTATGAGATATGTTTATGTGGATTTATTTAATAATTTACTCTAATAATTCAAAAATCTAATAATTAAGGCATGGAGTTGCCTACCTTTATAAGGTCCGTATGGAGGAATGTCGCTGTTAAAATATGTTCCTCCCACTATACTTACTCATGCAGCGATTCTTTACGCAGACAGCTTGAAGTTTCAAAAATACCAAACAAATGAACTTTTCTCCTTTCAAGATACAACATATCACTCAGTGTTCCCTTAAATGAAATTAATAAAATGATTCAAGTGATTTTTTTTTATTAAATCTAAACTGATATTTAAATATAATTTATTGTATATTGTTCCTTATTGTAACCTTTCATCTTCGAATCAAATGTCAATCTCTTTATATGAATAAGCGGTATGAAAGAAAATGTAATGATAAATTTAGCAATGTCCAATGCAGTTTCTGTTTACATTAAACATTTAAATTAAACCACAAACTACTTTGCTTCAATTTACTCTCCAGAAACTGCCCTGTGACTCTCAGGCTCTTAGCCAACACTTTTGACCTAATGTTTTTTGATAGAACTCTTACTTCCTTTAAGACTACCAAAGACTAACAATGTTCAAACCAATAATGGTGTGTACACTTACACGCGTTTATGTTAAGGTAGCCCTCCCTCAATTTAACGTTAACAAGGAGGCCAGGCTTTCCTAAAAGACAGTACAAATGAATCTGTAAAATAAATAAGGAAACAAATTTTGTCATAAGATAGTATGTAGAAATCTGTCTATTTTTAAAATCGTCGAGATTTTTTGATTTTTTTTAAATTGTCGAAATTGGGTGTTGTTGTTTTTTAAATTGTCGAGATTGTTTTTTGTTTTTTTTTAAATTGTCGAGATTTGGTTTACATTCATGAAATTGTTTATGTAGCAGTTATAGGAAACAGCCGTTTACATACAACAAAGAGCCATATGCACGAGTGAAACTTGAGCACAGTCAGGCTTTAAACTGCAATAATGGTTACACTTGTGTCATAGTCCGATATACACTGTAACTGTCCCCTCTTTACTGTCCTTTGATAGTCAAAACGGCGTTCATAGGGTCTCTTTACTAAAGGTGTTCTAGAGGAGCATGTCCATAACTGCCTTAATATTATTTCTATCAGTTTTAATGTTTTTAGAATATTAGAAAACAGTTATGAATTTTTGTGATCGTGAATAAAAAAGTTACTTGGCCTCGGCTTATATGTATTATGTAAAACATGCAACAACAACAACAACGAGTGTCTAGTTTTAGCTTAGTTTAATTCTTTATTTTTGAAGATGATGTTATCTGAAAAAAGTGATATTGATAAGTTTTATAATAGGTTTCTAATTGTACATCAAGAAAAACAGTCATGCTGACTCATGCTAAATAGTTTGTCTTTTACAAAGATTACAAGAAATACAAAACGGCTTACAGGTTTCCCTACAAAAGTTATATTTAGAAATGTATATTCACTGAAAAACCGTCTACGCAAGTTTTTTAGAACTGGTCACGTATGTGGTATCCGGTCAATGGGATTGCGAAAAATACATAATTTCTAATAAACGGAACTTTATCTAGATAGCGTAAAACGTCTATATGACTGTTTGTAAATCCTGTGTAGCGCACTTGATTAAAACAAATAGATGCTATATATTTTCAAAAATAAACATTAATATTGAGCTATCACTTACAAAGATTTTTTATCCTTATAAGTAAACGTTTCAAAAATACAAATAATTCCGATGATGTCATTTCTGAGAAATCCGAACTTGAGCAGCTTTGCTAGATACCACAGCTGTTCCGTAAGTTAATTGTCCGAATACTTCACTCATTTCAGCACTTGAGCGTATTTCCGCGGTAAATCCCGGTGTTGTAGACAGAGACAGGATTGCTAGCTCCTTCTTTATTACCATATCGTCACGTTCACGCTTCTCTGCTGATTGGTCCGGAATCATTGAGGAATTTCTGCACGCGGCCTTAATCGCATTGATAGCACGGTCACAAGTTTCAATGTTCTCTTTCTTGAACGATTCAATCTGAGCCAAAGTTTCCTTTTCTAAATCCATAATCATGTTCGTCAACAAGGTGGACCGGCTTTTTACATCTAGTTTCAGATCGTCTATCCCTTTTTCGAAGTCCCATTTCTTTTCCTTCAGATCCTGTATATCGTTCCGCCATTG